GAGCGAGTTCGGCCCTTTTGATTTTCTGACTCCAACTCCTTGCACATTTCATTGTAATATTTTGCTTTGTCATCCCGTGCTGCCTTTTGAAATCTCCTAGTCAACTCTTTAGTATCTTGAATTCTTCCTTGTGCTTTGTCTTCCCTGCACTCCAGTGCAATTTTCAGAGTCTCTTCCGACATCCTTTTTGGCACAGGACAGAGCAGAGTTCAGGGCTGTTGTACATAGGGTCGCTATGAGTCGCAAGCAACTTGACGGCACATAACAACAACAACATATGCCATTGATGCAGGATGGACTAATAACTAACCCTTTAGTGAAATTGCAAGCAAGATCCTACTAAAAATTATCCAAAAATGACTGGAACAGCACATCTACAGAGAACTGCCAGATGGGCAGGCTGGGTTTAGAAGAGGCTGTAACACCAGTGACATTATAGCCAATTTTTGATGGATCTTAGCTGAAAGCAGAGTACCAGAGTAATGTCTGTGTTTCACTGACAAAGGCATTTGAGTATGTGGATCACAACTGTAGCTGAATTTGACAAAAGTGGGAATCCTGGAACACTTGTGTTTATGGGAAATAAAGTCAGTGTCACAGTATCAAATCCTATTTTTAGTATTTCCGAAAGTGGCCTCTAAAAGGGTTTCCGTTAGCCTTATAGGTTAAGTGTTGGACTAACTCAAATTCTTTCAGTGAGAATTAGGAGGTAGTTTCCTTCATTTAAGATTTACAGCCTCAGAAATCTGATGAAAAGTTGGCAAGAATCAGAAGTGACCCAGAAATGTGTGTGCCTTGGTCTGAAAATGATCACTAGACGTTATATAAATTAGCTCTAATTAAAGTAACTTTGCCTTAAACTTCTCTCTACATATAATTCTGCCTCTTAATAGTCTGTTGTTAGGTCCTGCCACGTAGAGTATGACTCATAGCTCCCCTGTGAACAAATCTGAATTCTATCCTATCCTGTGCCATCTTCACCATGTCTGACACACTTGATCCCATTGCTGCTGTTACTGTCAATCCACCAGGGTGAGGGTCTTCCTTTCTTGCACCATCCCTCCACCTTTCCAAGGATGATGCTCCTCTCCAAGGAGTAGCCTCTCCTAGTAACATGCCCAAAGCACAGGACAGTTTTATCATTTTTGCCTCTAAGGAGCACTCTGGCTGCATCATCTTCAAGATGTATGTTCTTTTGTTAGTCCCTGAGATATTCAGTACTCTTTTCCAACACCACAGTTCAAAGGCGTCAATTCTTCTGTCATTTATTGTCCAGCTCTCAGTAGCATAAGTGATCGAAAAGTCCCTGTCCTGGTTCAGGTGCATCTTAGTCCTCAAACTGACATCTTTACTCCTCAATAATTTGGAGAGGTCCTTGACTGCAGACTTTCCCAGTGCAATACATCTCCTGATTTGACTGCTGGTATGCTGGTAACAAGTATGTTGATTGTGGATCCAAGTAAGATGAAGTCATTGACAGTTTCTTTCTTAAGAATCTTTATTCTTAAGATTTAAAAATCATCTTATGAATAGGATTGAAACATTGAATACATATATATGCCTGAAGACCAATGAGTTTTGGGATGGCATCAAAGGATCAAAAGAGGATTATAAAGAAAAAAACCAAAATTCAGATCAGATGAGACCTTGAAAATGGTGCTACTGTGTCAAGAGAAAAAAAAACATGTTGAAAAGGGCTGAAGATTTCAAAGGCAGCTCAGAAAGACAAAACAAACTAATGGAATGTACAGACACCTAGAATTAGAGAATAAAAAGGGGAAGAACTATTTCTCAAGTTGAAATTCAAAAGTTGGGCTACAATAATAATTAAGAGATGCTCTGGGTAAAATCTTAAATGATCCAGGAAACAACAAAAATGATGAATAATCACTGCATCAAAAGGAATTGGTTGACAGGGAAGTATTTCCAGAAATACCATATGATCAAGAGCCAATGGTAATTCAAGATGAAGTTAAATCTGCACTGAAAGCATTGGCAAAAAATATGACCCCAGGAATCAATGGCATACCAACCAGTATGTTTCAAATGACAGATGCAGGCCTGGATGCACTCATCAGTCTGTGCCAGGAAATCTGGAGGACAGCTGACTGGCCAATTGACATATTTGTTCCCATTTTCAGTGGCCTAGATCTAGATAATTCAGCCTTGCTTTCATTGAAGAGAAGTTACTCCAAAGAATTTAATCCCAACTTTTAAAAGATCTATTTCAGAATTTTTTCCTCTTAGGGAGCGAAGATGTACTTTATTGTCCTGAGTTTCTTCTCCAGTGGTAACTTCCAAATGGTATTTTCAGAGTAACAGCAAAAATCATGCCAACATTTCTGACAAAGAGTATTTGCTCTTGCAGGTGAACCAGTGTAAATATTGGAATTAGTTGATGTTGATAGCCATCAAGTCGAGCACAACTCAGCGACCCTATAGTCCTCTATCGATATTTCTCAAAGTTCATCAAGTTTCTGGAGGCATGTTTAGGAAGTGGGTGCCACACCCGCTTCCAAACCTGTCATAGTATGTTACTGTCATGTATCACTGAGTCACCTGCAATGTATAGTGACCCTATGTATAGCAGCTCAGAACCCTTCTCTGTCTTGAGTCAGTCTCATTAATTCCAACACACCAACCCCCCAATGCTCCAGCTACTGTATCATTGTGTCTCATCCTGAGTCTCCCTCTCCTGCACTGTCCTTCCACCCTTCCGAGCATGATGTCCTACCCCAAGGACCAATCTCTGCTATACAGGGACAATTGATTTTCAGTATGCTGCTAGAAACTTCTCAGAAATAATTTTAAAAAGGCTTTCCACAAACAGAAGCACACTATCATATTAATTTTATTTTTCTAAGGGTTCATATTGCAAATTAAGCCAAGCATGAACTTTTATCTTGTGGGCCCAAATTCACATATTTAGGAAGAAGAAAGCAAACTAATCCATGTACATGGATGATAACTAAAGGCTCAAATTTTATCACATTAGTTTTTTTTGTTTGTTTGGTTTTTTTTCCACATTATAGTTTTTTAACTTCTACAGCTTAGGACTTAAACGTCACAGGTCTTTGAGGTCTTTCTGGATGTCCCACAAAGTGTCTGCGCTCTTCTTGAGTTGAGCAACTTCGTCATCCTTTAGTTTCTGGTTAATGACGCTGGTTAACCCTCGGGCATTCAGAATACATGGAAGGCTCAGGAAGACTTCATTCTCAATGCCATACATCCCCTGCCAGAAACAAATAATGCCAATTAGATGAAATGAAATCAGAGGTGGGAATGCACACAGGTCTTAGGGTTGAACAGAAAGAATTGTAGCCAATTTGGTGAACACATACTCATTTTTAAATTTTACCTAATACTTATGTTTTGAAATATATATACTAATTTATGAACTTGAATACATAAAAATATAAGAAATACTTTATTATAGTTATTGACACAGTATCTTCTGCTTAGACTTTAGTGAAATATATTTTAAGCTTTCAAATTAAGCTTCATTAAAATGTGGTTTAAGACTTTCATAAAATGTTAAGTTTGATATCAAGATACTATTACTCATTGTATTCATATACGTTCTTTAGAAACAGAAATTAAGAGATTTTAATTTCTCTGTGAGGTCCTGGTATCAGAGCTCCTTTCTGGTAGCTTAGTGGTAAGAAATTGTGTTGACAATGCAAAGGTACACAGTTTGAATCCACCAGCTCCTCCATTGGAGAAAGATGAGTAATCCCCTTCCCACGTGATTTGCTGCCTCTGAAAACCCACTGGATGGTCAGCTATGGAATGTTGCAACTTGATGGTACACTGCAAGAGAATTTTTTTTTAAAAAGCAAAAGCTTCGTCTCCCCCAACACACACAAATTCATGATCATTTTTTAGTGATACATAATACTCTTCGTGTGAATGACTAATGTTTGCTATTTTCCTTTGATGGACACTTGGGCTGTTTCCAACTCTTTGCTATTTTAAATACTGAAATAAACAGATATGTGCATGTTAGTTTTGCTTATTTTTCGGGGGGATATATTTAAAGTAGTGGGAGTGCTGGGTCAAAATGTGAGACACTGTAGGACCTGAATGCATCTAGAACAAATTATGTTGAGTGACAAAAGCCATTAAGACAATTATAAGACCACTATTATGAAAAGCTAAGGAAGTATTTGTACATAACTAGAGTTAATTTTGAAAAGTAATGAATAGAAAGGGAAAGAGAAGGGAGTAAAAAAATAAAGTTGGGTGAAGGGAAAATACACAATAAGATGTTGATTAATTACTAATTATAATAAACAGCAGTTAATATTAAACAAAATACCTGTGAATGATTGTATGGAAAAGCAATGACCTGTAAGCCTTCACTCAAGTTTGGTTTGGTTTGTTTTTAAAAATGCACTATTTAAGGACTGTTTATGTAGAAATAGCACATTCTAATACAAACATCCAAAATACAATTGTTAAATATTTGTCTTAATTTTAAATATTTTGCCATTTTATTCTAAAACAAGAATCTGACAGATCATTTTACTCCAAAATATTATTTCTTTTGCATTTGTTTATAATTTTTCTCAATTTTTAAAACTCTACTGCATTCCTTTTTTACTTTTTCTCCTTGTCAGTAATGTGTTAAAAAGGAATCCATTATCTTCTTTATTAAATGGCTGTTTCAATGTATTAAAACATTTTAATAGAATTTTAGTTTTGCTTAAAAAAGAATTTGATTTTAACCCTTTTGATTATGTGTTTATCTCAAAGCTTTTGTATAAATTTGCTATTATCAGGTTATCAAATCAAAAGCAACCTAGTATTTACCACTTTGAAATCAAACTCTTTTACACTAGTTCAAGTTGTCATACATTTTGAGATTGTGTTGAATAGAATTCTGCATATACATAAATATTTAATTAATCACATTCACTAATGGAGAATTATTAAAAAGCTTGGTTTTTAACTTTATATATGTTATAGAATAACCAAAACTATCTAAACACAATGACTGATTGTTTAAATAGTTCTTTTTCCAACTTTTCTTTCTCTAATCTTTGAGTAATCCCTTTAAGGTATATAATGTGGAAATCACGTTACAATTTTAATCGATTTACCTTCACCATTGTTGAAACTGGATGAATCCTGGATAGATTTTTCAACATGGATTCAATCAGATCAGCCACACTTAGTCCAATAGCCCAGTTGGTGTATCCTTTGAGCTTGATGACTTCATAGGCACTAGGAAAATACAAGAACATATACTTTTGTATCTATAATGGAGACTAGAAATCATACTAATCATTGAAACCAGACTGAGTTGACCCCTGCTCTGGCTCTTACTAAATGTATAATCAGGTTTTATTGTCTTTCTGTGCCTCATGATCTTCTTGTTAAATACAGTTAACAATGGCATCTATTATGAGTTTGGAATGAGTGTGAAATGACAGTATTTACATGAAGTGTTAGAACATACTCAACACCTGGTAGGTACTATATAAGTTTTTTTTGTTTTAATAGCTTATTTTATAAGTATAAATATGGTGGTGAAAATACAGGTTCCCAGCCAATTGCATAGATTCATACAGATTTTTCGAAGATTTAAATAAGTATCATGAAAAAAAACAAGCGATAAAATATAGCTTGGTCCTAAGGTTATATTTATTATAATCTAAGTATTTTTGTTATTATGTGCCATCAAGTTGGGACTCATTGCTGATCCGTCAATAGGGTTTCAGAGGCTATTACCTATATGAGAGGAGATTGCCCATGTTTACGTGCCATAGCCCAACTCCACATTAGTGGATACTCCACTACCAGATTTCCCAAATACTAATTTACTTTAGCGAGCTCTGCTCTATAGGAGTTGCACTGCTAACCAAAAGGTGGTGCCTCTCTGAGAGTCTGAATCCACCAGTCACTCATTGAGAGAAAGATGGACAGAATCTTCTCATGTAAAGTTATAGTTTCTGAAAACCTCCTGGAGGGCTAGTTAACGAGCAGGTTCTGACTTAATGGCAATCGAGAGTAGTCAACTTAAAAAACAAAGTGATCGAAGTATCTGGCTAGTAATATATATATATATATATGTATTTATATTCTATATATAGAATTAAAGTCTTCAAATCACCAAAGTACTCATATTTGGGAGGTAACTATATTCTGTAAAGGAAGTCTGGTAACAAATTAGGATTTGAAATAACCAACTATTATCTAAATGGTCTTGGAGAATTACTCAAACTTCTTAAGTACATATTTTCATGTTTATAAAATAAAATTATGGTAGTTGGAATTCTAATACTTTCAACTTTAAATGTTTGAGATTCTGTTTCTTCATACATTATTGTCAAATCTCTAAAATAATTATCACTGAAAGAATAAAATAAAGTGGACCCACATTTGATTTGTCTATATAACAACCTGCTGCAAATATTAACAGCCAGCATTTTTACTGATTACCAAGTAATTACATAAAATGCAATTATATATGTGTTTGTGTATATATACTTTATTTAATCATGATAATAATTCCTCCATACTGTAACTTTACAGAGAAGAAAACCGCAATTCAAGACTATTCAGTTATGTGCCATGTTTTGAAAACCCAACCTCATGGCATTTACTTTTCGTTAGTCTATAATGACACATGATTTTATAAGTATGTCAGTATGAAGCTTATTTTAAGTTGACTGTGGAAAGGTAAATACAGCACAGGTTAAACACATGGCAATCAATCAGTATTTATTTGAAGCAATTACAAAGTTAACAGCTGTCTGTATTTGTCTTTTTAGGTAAGTCAACCTTAGCTATTGTTGTGAGGTAATTTGAAAACATTGTTCATTTTCTAACTCATGTTTCACTCCTGCTCACCACCACATCAGAATTTGTTTCCCTAAAAAGACTGTCACAAGTTTGACCAGTAAAGTTTTTCGTTCTAACACATAACAGTTGTACGTTCACCACATTAAGAGTCTATCTGGAACACACAGCTCTGGACATTGTTCACAATTCTTTCTATGTGAAGTTGAAATTAATGATTTGAAATTAAGCTTTCTTCTACTGACCTTTCAACCACCATTTTATGTACTTCCTTCCAATTTTCACTATCGTTGTCAGTCCCCATCTCTGGATTCAGTTCCTGGAGAGAAACTCCTGCCACGTTCACGCCACTCCACACTGCCACTGTAAAAACAAACATATCAGGTCTCTCTGACACAATTTTTAAAAATCCTTCCTCGGATTTCTTTACTCTCAAGCGAGTTACTACAGACCTCCTTGCATGACTGCAATAAGCACTGATTCTAACAGATCTCCCCTCAAGCTGGCATTTACCTTCAAACAGTCCCATCTCTGACCTTTCAACTTTCAGAGCAAGAGAACTGTCATGTTATTCTTTCAGTGAATAGGAAATTCTTTGTACCTAAGTTCATGGAATTTGTAAAGGGTTCAATTTTCAGACTAGTCTAAATTTATGCTGTAAAGCATTTAAAACTTCCTGCTTATTTTTCTCACTACAAGTCCTTTCTTTAGAATGGAAAAATAAAGTCCTCTAGCATATGGACAAATGTAGTAGTCTAATTATCTCTAAGTTTAGACTTGCTCTCTTTTCCATAAGAAACGTCATGCAATCACAATGGATTTTTCTGGTCTTAACTTGATAAACATCTCCCAAGAATGACACTAGAGTCATAAAAGCACAAAAAGGTTGCTCATTTGGCTACATGTATCAATTAGAGGCCTCACTGAACCAAAACTATCCTCTTACTTCCCTGTGAAACCCACTACCTAGTCCAAAACATTTATCTAAGATCTAGGTGTGTGAATAGAGAATTCTCAGGAGATGCTCAGAGCCATGAACAAATTCAGAATCTATCTGAAGAGACAGAAACAAAGAACTAAGACACTGTACGTGAGCTATCACAGGCATGGATGAAGTACAATAAAACAAATTTGTTGTTATGTGCCGTTGAGTCGCCTGCGACTCATAGTGACCCTATGTACAACAGCCCTAAACTCCGCTCTGTCCTGTGCCAATCGCACTGTCTCTGACACTCCCATCCCAATTATCCCAGTCACTGAAGAGGGCCTTCCTCTCCTGCGCCGTCCCTCCACCCTCCCAAGCATGATGTCCCTCTCTAAGGACCGGTCTCTCCTCACAACATGTCCAAAGTAAGTTAGACGGAGCCTCAGAATCCTTGCCTCCAAGGAGCCACCCGGTTTAACCCTCTCCAGGACAAATCTATTTGTTTTCCTAGCAGTCCATGGTATTCTCAACACTCTTCTCCAGCACCACAGCTCAAAGGCATCAGTTCTCCTTCTATCCTCCTTGGTCATTGTCCAACTCTCTGATGCATAACAGGTGATTGCAAAGACCATAGCCTGTATCAGACGCACCTTAGTCTCCAGAGAGACACCACTGCTCTTCAGCACTTTGGAGAGGTCCCTAACAGCAGACTTTCCCATGGCAATGCGCCTTTTAATTTCCTGGCTGCTGGTGCCAAGACTGTTGACTATGGAGCCAAGCAAACTAAAGCTGTGTACAATCTCAATCTCTTCACCATCCATCCTGATGCTGCCAATTGGTCCAGTGGTGAGAACCTTTGTCTTCTTGACATTGAGCCTCAATCCATATTGTAGGCTGCAGTCCTTGACACTCTGCAGCAGGCGCTTCAGGTCCTCCTCAGTTTCAGCAAGCAGGGTTGTGTCATCCACATAATGCAGATTGTTGATAAATCGTCCACCAATCCTGACCCCACATTTCTCCTCATAGAGCCCAGCCTCCTGGATAATCTGTTCTGCCTTCGTTCATTAGTGTTCAAAGCCTCAAACCTGGTCCTGAGATGGTTCTGGAATTCAGGTGGGATAGACTCAAGGTCATATTTTGGTTGCCTCGGATTTGGTTTAATTTTCCTCAGCTTTAGCTTGAATTTGCATATGAGTAGTTGGTGGTCTGTTCCACAATCAGCTCCTGGCCTAGTTTCACAGCTGATATTGAGCTTCTCCAGCGGTTCTTTCCACATATGTAATCAATCTGATTCCTATGCATGCCATCAGGTGAAATCCAGGTATATAACCTGCGTTTATGCCTCTTAAAAATGTATTTGCTATGAATGTCATTGATTGTGCAAAATTCGATCACTCTCTCCAGCTCCATTTCTGTCACCGAGTCCATGTTTTCCAGCTACTGAATCTTCCTCTTTGTTCCCGACTTTTGCATCCCAGTCACCCATTATTATCAATGCATCTTGGTTGCATGTTCGATCAATCTCCGATTGTAAAAGTTGGTAAAAATCTTCTATCTCCTCTTCCTTGGCTCTGGTTGTTGGTACATATATTTGAATGATAGTGGTATTCACTGGACTTGCTTGTATGCGTATAGATATTATCCTGTCACTGACAATATTGTACTTCAAGACAGATCTAGCAATGACTTTTTTAACTAGGAAAGCAACTCCATTTTTCCTCACTTTTTCATCTCCAGAGTAATATATCATATGGTCATCCGACTCAAAATGCCCCATGCCAGTCCATCTCATCTCACCAATGCCTAGTATGTCAATATTTATGTGTTCCATTTCTTCCTTAACAATATCTAATTTTCCTACATTCATGGTTCTCACATTCCATGTCCCAATCACCAGTGTCTACTTACAACTGTTCCTCTTCCTTTGTATTTCCATACTTGAAAACTCAACCTCCTTTGCCATTTCTGTTATCTAAATGTGTTCTATTGTACATAGGGTTTTCAGAGGCCTGCTATTTCAGAAGTGGATAGATCTACTTAATTTAAGGGCAAAGAGTGTCAGAAAGGGCTATTAAGACAGATAGTTAAGCTGAGTCTTGAAAAATAAACCTATATTGCTTAAGATATTTGAAGGAATCAGGGTGAAATCTCTCTCAGGGAGGAGTGATAGGGAATGGCAAAGGACGCACTGACAAAGGAGATTAATCAGAACTGGCTTTGACAAGCACTATGGCAATGGGACAATTAAAACTGACTTTCAAGGGGAAAAAAAAGAGGAACCAACTGGGGGTGGGGGTAGAGAAAATAGTGCAACAGTGAATGAATGGAAATTCAAAATCTCTGTAAATGTTCATTAAAATTTTAAAAAAAGATATTTTAAGAAGAATAATTTAGACTTAAAGGGCAAATGCATGGGATAAACATGAATATAGTTATGTTTCATTGAGTCACCTGTAACTCATAGCGACCCTGCGTATAATAGCTGTGAAGCCTGCCCTGTCCTGAGGCAGTCTCACTGACTCTGACACACCCACCCTCATTACCCTAGTTACTGCATCAATCCATCTCCTCTGGGGTCTTCATCAGCATCAAAAAGTTACTGACCTCCAAATAAATCCTTCTGTTGGTTTATTTCTGCCAATTCAGGAACTTTACTGAGAAAAGCAGGTCATTTTCATATTCTTTGGAAAGCTGTGAAAACTAAAATCTATAAAAGTATACTTATGTGATAGTATCATTCTTATTAATACAGACCAGAGACACCAATATCAAAACTAAAAATTTTGAGGGGAAAAAAATGACAGTAATATGTAACTAGAACATTGGTTGAAAGTCCTAGGATCTGATTCTATTGTAGCCAAGCCACTAAGTAGCCAAAGAATCTTCACTTTTTTGTCTATAGTTTTTCCATATTAAAATTCAAGTTTTGCCTAGATTATATGTAATGCCACTTGCAAGTCTAATTCAGTTACTTAGACCATTCTCAGTTCTGAGGAACATTATGGCTGTCCATCCATTCTTCAAATGGTTCATGGTGCATTCATTATTTTTTGCCAACTCTATAATCCAAAGGAATCAATCTTTTCATGTTTCCTTATTCACTGTTTAGCTTTCATACGCATGAGAAGATTGGGTTCAACATGGCTTGGGTTAGGCTCACCTTAGTCGTCAAGGCAATAGCTTTGTTTGATACTTAAAACATGTCTTTTGTAGCAGACTTGTCCAGTGCACTGTCATCTGATTTCTTGTCCAGGGTTTCAGTCAACTTCAATCTTTTCTCCATTTATCATGATTTAGCTAATTGGTCGTGTTATGAAGAGTTCTATATTTTGTTGAGGTGAAAGGTATATTGGAGGCATGAGACCCGTCCTTGGAGAAGGACATCATGATTGGAAGGGTGGAGGGACAGCACGGGAGACAAAGGCCTCGGGTGAGATACAGTTACTAATACAGTAACTAGGGCAAATGAGGGGTAGATGTGTTGGAATTAGTGAGGCTGGCTCAGGATAGGGCAGGGTTCAGAGTTGCTGTACCTGGGGTACACCTATGGGTCACAGGCGACTCGACATCACATAAATCTTAGATCTTCATCAGAACTTCAAATCTTGATCACTTTCAGGAGGAAGGTTAGATCTTCTGCATATTTCACGTTATTATAAGACTTCTTTTAATTCTGATGTCACATTTTTCATATAGTCCACAGCTTTCTGATTATTTATCCAGCATACAGATTGAAAATGGTAAAAAGATATAACCCTAACTCATACCTTTCTTGACTAAATAAAGCTATATCCTCTTGTTCTGTCTAAATGGCTGCTTCTTGGACTCAGTAATGTTCTGCATCAACATCAGTTAAGTGTTCTGGAATTCTATTATTTTCTCTGTGATTCATAGTTTGTTATGATCCCAATAGTCAATTGCCTTCAGAGAATCAAGACATCTTTCTAGTATTCTCTATTTTTGGGCCAACATACATCTTTTGATGTCCTCTTCTGAGTGTAGGTTGAATTTCTATCAATTCCCTATTAAAGATATTGATAATTTCTGCAGTTTGTTCTATCACCCTTCTTTGACATGAACACAAACATGAAGGCATTTCACAAAAAACTTCATATGTTCAAACAATATTGTATACAAGATTGTTAATCACCAATAAATTATGCAATAATATTAAATCAAAGGTTATGGCACAAAGCTGAACTCTACTAAAAAAAAATTACATTATAATCTCCCATTGTAATTAAAGGAAACTTTTCAGCTTAATTTTAGGCAGAAATAGCCCCTTGCATAAAAACTGACTCAACCAACAATCATCGGTGGACTTAGCGGCTACTAAGTTTAATGAGGTTTAATATAGTTAGCCATCTCAAAGTTTCCCTTCACAAATTACTTTTCCTTTGTTGTTAATAACTCTAATTGATTAAGACAAGATGAATATGAGTGCCTACTGTTTTGATATCCTGTGAAGGTCTAGCCTTATTTCTCTGCCAAAAATCTGGGCCCATTCACCCTAATGAAGAGAAAATTACCAAACAAGCCTAAATTGGTAATAGTCTATAAAAGAATTCACTTGATGTCAAAATTATGAAAAACAAGGACTGAGATTTATCTGGAAATGGATCTTGAATGGGGTTAATAAAAAAAAAAAAAGATACAGAGCACATGACTGGGACATGTACAGATATTTGTCAAGAGATATTAGATCAGAATAGTATTTTAGTAATTTTATTTTTATTAGAAAAGTAGAGTCCTTTATTAGTGCAAATAACTAACATGAAATAAACTGGTAAAAGTTCAAGTTCACCCACAGGTATCTCAGAATAAAGGAAAAGCAATTTATTTCTGGCGGGGAAATCCCTCAAAAAACAAAAACTGAGCTATTGAAAACCTTATGAGCTCTTTTTTGAGACACAGAGGGTTGCCATTAATTCTGGCAGATTTGGTGGCCACTAGTTTTTGTTTTATTTTAAATCATTCTTAGGAAATACATATCTGAAAGTTTGTGGAGAAAAGGGTTAAGATCGTGGAAATTTTTGTTTAAATGGATTCAAATTAAAAAGATAAACGACAGCAAGATTGATCTTGAAAAGAAGAGAGAAAAAATGACAAGTAAATGAAAAGATTTTTTTAAAAATTTTTTACCACTTGAGTCGCCATGTTCTCCCAAAATCCATCCATGGCAGCTGCTGGGATGAATGCCAAGCTTTTCTGCCATAAGGTATCGAAATCGAGCAGAATCCAGGTTACATCCACTGCCGATCACACGGTGCTTGGGCAATCCACTTAGTTTCCAGGTAACGTATGTAAGAATATCAACTGAAATTTTACAAAGAACATGTCTGAGTAAATGGAAACGGTCTTCAGCTACTATGTAAATTACTGTATGCCCCAGCTTCTTCCTCCAAAACCCCATTTCCCAAAAGAGATGTAGCCAGAAAGATAAGACATAATTTATCAGAGGTGTCATAAGAGGGTTAAGTGCAAACTCGTAAGCCTTGTATCAAGTGAAATATTAAGATATGAAAAATACAATTATGTGTTTGCATATTCATACCAAATATAAATGACAAAGTAACTTTAAGTTGTAAGAATAAAAAGAGTTGAATTAAGTGTCTTCCAATTCTAATATCCCATGACTATAATGGCTACCCTTCACAAGCTAAAAAACCAAAACCAAAACAAAACAAAACAAAAACCAAAACAAAAAGCCACCAATTCTTACTAACCAAGGGAAGACACTTTGAAATCTTCTTGGGCATAAGATATTATACAGCAAATTATTGTGATGCTTTTGGATATTTACTAAAATGACCACTCTTTTAGAGCCTTTGTTCCCATTTGGCAGAGTAGGAAACTACAGAGATAAGACTTCTGCTAGTCCAGATAATACCACAGCTTTTTCAGGTTACTAACTACCAAAACTATAAATGTATGTTGACAGAAGGTAAGGAGATGGAAGTTAATCTTGCACTCTCTGCTTCCAAACTTGGATCTTCTAAAAGCACTGTGAACTGATTATGACAAACTCTTCCTTGCCAACTTCATTTCAATGGGAGTGATCCCTGAATCCTCAGACTTTGAAGCTATAACCTAGAAAGTTGCATAATCCATGAGTGATGCTTGCCTTCAGCACAGGAAGGAACAACTTAATACATCCTATCTACTTATTCTTGTTCTCTAAATATCTGCCACAAATATATTTAGAAGCAGTTTTATTTATATACTTTATTTATATACAATATAGTTAACACGTTGCTGCAAATGGCAGGAAAAAAAATGTTTCTAAGCATGGTCGCCAATTTAAGTGTGCGGCAACTGTTAGTAAGCCCCAGCCCAGGCCTGAAAGAGCAAGAATGAACTGACCTCTCTCCTTGCCTGATCTCAATGTTCAATAAATGAATAAGGGTTGTCCCTAGATTATTCACAATGCTACTCTATAAAAATCACCTTATAAAAAGTACTATAAAAACCAGTTTTATGATAATGTGTCTATTATGCTTACCAGTAAACAGGAAGTTTGACAGGAAATGGAATAGTGGCAAAAGGAAATGCTAAACAGTGAACTAGAAATTATTAGGCTTAAAAAAAAAAAAAACAAACAGTAACTCTAACCAAATGTTTTAATGTTTGTTCTACAGATAATGACTAAGGAGAGGAGTTTTTAAGTCACAACACCTGTTGTTAGCATGTCCATTAGAAAAAAAAAAAATCAATGAGTACCAATACAATTCGTTTATGTTTTTCCAAACAGGACTGTTGAATGGTTCAGCTTTTCAAGTTCAATGTGATTCAGTTTTGAGGAATTACAGCATGAAAGAATTTGAAATGTAGCAATCAGAGAAAAGGCGGCCAAATATAATAAAAGGTGTCAAAATCAAAGTCACACTTGAATGCTTCATTATGCATCTCAGAATACTCATGCTAGAAAATTTTTAAAAGTCTTTAGGCTTTACAACAAACCCAGATAAAACAAACAGATGAAATTGCTTTATATAAAATTCCTCCCATATTTCTGAACATTTGGTCTGGGATAGTGCCATTTGTTGTGTAAACATCACTCTCTTGTGGCTAGTCACATAAGACACGTGAATTGTGTCTGTGGAAAATACTAGATGTCCTTTTTATTTTAAGGGGGTAAAAATCACACAATCAAAAGCACTGAACTTAAGAGAACTGATTCTGAGGGTATTAGAATACCTGGGTTGGAAACCACAATGATAATGCAGTCAGGACTATACTTGACGATCTGAGGAATAATGAATTTGAAGACATTGACATTCCTCTGCACCAGATTGAGTCGACTCTCCCCCTCTTGCTGACGAACTCCTGCAGTTACCACCACAATCTTAGAATTGGCTGTTACCGAGTAATCTTGAAAGAGAGAAAGGAAAAAGTACTTTAAAGTACAACTCTTCATCAAAATATAACACATGCATTCTCCAGAAATCTAAACGTTTGCTAGGTCCCACAGAGTAGAATATGACTAATTTTGACCCCATAGTCTAAGATCTGAACCTTGTCCTCCCCCACGACATTTAAAATTGACATGAAGACTATGCTTTCTATGTTATATGGTTTTTACACTTAATACATAGCCTATGTTTTTTTCCCTTTGTTCTTGAGTTATGCAAAAACAAATCAACCATAAAAATGGCTCAGAAACAAAAGCCCTGAATTATGTTTCTGGCCTATGAATAGGAAAAGTCACCGACTTTACAGAGCTATAACTTGTAATGAAATGAAGCATAAACAGTGTCCATGGCAAGACCTGATTTATATTTCAAAGGTCCAAAAGTCAGTCTTCCAACAAGGAAAGTGACTAAGTTACTTCTACATGTGTAATGCTAACTAAATCTGTGAAGGTAAGGAAGGCAGGCACTAAAATGCTCTTGGTCAGAACTAAGACTATACATTTCTAACACTATTTTACAGTAGTTTATTTGCCTCTGAGCAGTGTAGTTTTTTTCCTGGAAATTCTACCACCATTCCTCTTTGAGAAAGCACACCATTTTCCAAGATACATAGACATTGTGATTGGGGATTTGATGTGGTTTCATTAAACTCAGTAACTACGGATGATTCACATAATTAAATAGTGTTGCTATGTGCCTCTTTAGAGCTATTTATACTTTGTCAACTTCCTTACCGTGAGATGGAGATATTAATAGTACCTATACCACAGAGGGCTGTTGTGAAGATGAAGAAGGAATAATATATGTATGCAAAATGTCACATGATAGTTATTAATTCAACTAACATTATTAGCAGTGTTGGTCGTGTAAATTTTCTTTTATTTTTTGGAGACCCAGGGATCGCTGGTATATGTAGTAGATAAACTGTGCTGCCAACTCAAAGGCAGATGGTTAGAATCCAGCTGCTGGTCAGGAGAAAGATAGGCACTCTCCTCTTGTGCGCTTTGTAGGCTCTAAAAACCCGCTGAAGGATCAGCTATGAGTTGGTTCCTACTCAATGGCAAAGAGTGAGTGAGCTTTTTATTTATAGCCATGGTGTTGTGGCAGAACCTCTGCACAAATGTGAGAACCTAAAACAGCCTGTTAGAACATGACTTACTGTAGCTCTTCAAGTTTTGCAATTCCTTTGCATACTTCATTTTCTTCAAAGTCTAAAGCACTCCTGTGCTGATACATGTATATAAGTAACCATGACACAATATTCTAAAATGTTATTTATCAAATGCTGTGAAAGATGCATGGGGAAAGAGGTTATGCAGAGGGTATATGTGCTTATCCCTAAAGGATGAACTGAATCTCGAAGAAGATTTTGCCAATACTAGATTCACCCAGGGAGCTTTGGTGGCTTAGTGGTAAGGAGCTGTGCTGCCAACCTAAAGGAATACAGTTTGAATCCACCAGCTGCTTCATAGGCAAAAGACAGGCTATCTCCTCCAGTACTATTTAAAGCCTCTAAAAACCTCCTAGAGGAACAGCTATTAGTCGATTCCAACTTGACAGCACACAACAATAACTGATTCACTCAAAATAGGAAGACAAATTGTGAAGCTTTGTGTGTACCCTGTTAAAGGTTTTAGAATGTATGATAGTATATAAAAAAGACAAGAAAATTTTTAGTTCAGGGGAAAATATTGTTTAGAAATAATAATTGGGAGCTCTGATAGTCCACTCCATTGGGAGCTGCTCTGCGAACCCATAGTCCGCACCTTCCTTGCAGTTCAAATATACCAGTGGCTCCACGGGAGAGGAACAAGCCATCTCCTCCCATGTGATTTATAAACTTGCAAACCCCATGGAGGGTCAGTTATGAGTTGATGCCAACTCAACAGCAGTGAGTTTGAGTTTTGAGGTGTGGCAGTATAGAACATGCAATACAAGCTCACTTTCTACACTTGTTCCTATCATGAAAATATCAGTTTACTAAATTCGTATTTTTAGTACAACGGGAGGAAAATGAGAATCTATAAAATAAAGCAAGGCACTTGGTCTTCAGGAGAAAGATGACAAATGAAGTGATGGTATAAATCAAAATTTGTTATTTTCATTTAGTGACCTATCAATGATAAGACCATTAAAATGGTTTATTGGTTATGATTTTAATTAGGGAATATAAAATTATAATTAGAGAAATAAAATTAAGATTTGCACAAAATTGGAAAATTCTTTTAGAATTAGACAAAAACTTTGCCATCATTTAGAAAATTATTAAACTTGATCATACCAAGAATTAAATTTAAGTTTCAAAATTCAATTTGTTCTAATTTAAAAAATAATTATGCTATAGAATGCATTACCAATGTATATTTTAGCTATCAAAAAATAAATTTAGTATTAAATTGCTTTGGGTAGGAGGTGCATGTATGTACCTTTATCTGCTACGATTTTTGGTGTCTGAAGGAATAAGCTCCCATGTTGCAGATCCATCATTTCTCCTTTGAGTTTGTCTTCTAAAACATCCACAAGGGCAAGTTCATCAGCCAGAGACTAGAAATACAAAAATGGATGTTAGTATTCTAATCCATCCAAGATAACCCTGCTCAAAAGCTATTTTAAAAGACTCTTAGTATCAAATGTTTAAAAACTTTGAGGATTTTAATTTGGCATCTAAGTGTGCTCTTTTGACAATGTCACCAAACAGGGCTTCAGTAGTGACCTGCTAAGTCAGAATGAAGCTCTGGTGGCATGAAGTTGCACCACCAATTCAGACACGTGGTTCAAATTCACCAGCTGCTCCAGGCAACCTCCTCCCATACAATTTACTGTCTCTCAAAAACCCACTAGAGGCCAGCTATGGGTAGGTTCTGACTTGATGGTATATAACAATATTTAAGACATCTTATTTTCAGAATTCATTTTCTACTATATATATTGGATACAACTTAACTGATAACACAAACTGCTTTAAAAATATGGTGACTGTCCTTGTTCTTAACACTAACTATATACAAAGAGGCAGCAGTGTGATGCCCATATATTTATCTCAATATAGGCCTTGTGCTTAGCTTGTATTGTGAATGGGATAACATGGCATGGGGGGCGGGGAGGAAGAAAAAATATGGAGAGACTTGAAGACTCCTGAGAACAACTTGGTTCAATAGTAGCCCCATGATGTAGCAAGTTCTCCCATTAATAAGGGAGGTTGAAGAACAAACCAGCTCAATTCAGAAATAATCTTTGAGAGTGTCTACATCCCTAAGGTCACCCTTGTTTTGAAGGATAACAGAGATTTTATTTAAATCACCAAGAGTTTTTGTGAACCTTACAGTAGGAATTGAAGCTCTCTTTGATGCTCAAAGTAATCAACTTGGCTCTAGATCAAACTATATACTTTTACTGGGAACAAGAAAGGCTCAGAGACAAATGCGGTGAAAAATCAGTAGATTTCCCATACATGACCAATCTGGATTTGTACCTCTAACACTGGTGTAGCCTTAGAGGTTTCTTGTCTTTTAAATATTAGCCAATTGTATCTACTAAATTGACATTGGGCAAGCTAATGAAATCCACTAAATTGACATTTAATCTCAATTTATTGTCATTTCTTATAAAAATTAATCAATACTAATTAACCTTTCAATCTTCCATTTTTTAATTTCAATTATTCTATAGAGAAGTTCTTACCTATTAACACTTTATAAAACAGTTATCATTCCTAGCTAAATTCTTACTAAATTTGTTTTTAAGGCTTTTAATCCTCCTGTGTGACTTATAGCCTCTGAAAACCCGCTGGGAGTCAGCTATAAGTTGGTTCTGAGTGGATGGTATATAATAAAATAACAGACTAGACAAGAATAAATATAGTCTCCCAACATTTAAGTATCCTTTAAGTGCAATTATGTCTTCCAAAGGTAATACTTTGATCAGCTACACAGATGATGGGTACTGCTGGGGAAGAAAGGTAGATAAGTGACTTTGAAGGATGAGGTACTGTAGCATAGAGTAGAATGTGAAGCATCAGGAAAGCACTAGCCAAAAGAACAGTAAGAACCAGGTCCTGTCTTTTTATTTTATACTGGTTTACTTACAAAGTTCGCATGCATTGTTTTTCATGCTGCATCTTTCCCGTTTCCTTAACCCACCCCTCTCTCCATCCATCAAACTATGTGACCCTATGATTACCCCCCTCATCCTCACCCCTCTGCTCCCACCCTAAATGTTTTGATGATTTTCAAAATAGCTTTACTCCTTTGCAGCTTTAACAAGATGAATCTTTGTTTTTAAAGTACTAAACTAATGCACTGTACTTTAATAAGCAGCTATGTATGCAGATGGTACAACCTGGCTTGCAGTACATGAAGAGGACTTGAAGTGCTTACTTATGAAGATCAATGACTTCACACATAATCTGTTTATACATCAACACCAAAGAAACAAAATTTGTCACAACTGGAACAACAGGCAATATCACGATAGAGAAAAGATTTCAGGTGTCAATGATTTCATTTTCCTGCAATCCACGACCAACACTCATGGAAACAGAAGAAACACAATCAAAAGATATACAGCATAAGCAAATCTGCTATCAGTGACTGCTTAATGTCAGAGAGCATGGATGTCAGTTTAAAGACTAAGGTGTCTGACTTAAGCCATGGTATTTTCAATTGTTTCTTATGCATGTGAAAGTTGGACAATGAACAGAAAGACCAAAGAACTGATGCATTTGAATTGAAGTGTACTGAATGTCCCATGGACTGTCAAAAGAAAACAAATTTACCTTGGACAAAGTGCAACCAGGGTGCACCTTAGAGACAAGGAGATGAGACTATCTCACTTTGGGCGTGTTGTCAGGAGGGGCTAGTTCTTGGGAAAAGACATGAAGCTTGGAAAAGAGAAAAGTCAGATCAGTAGAAGATGACCCTCAATGAGATGTATTGACATAATGCAATAGGCTCCAGCATGGTGGAGATTGAACATGACAACAGTATAAAATTGAGCAAGGTTTTGATCTGTTATACAAAGGTGACCCATCTGTTGGGAGCCGACTCAACATCAACTCAACAGTAACAATACAACAACTTAATAATAGCCACAGCATTCTGTCAAGGTACAAAGTACTCTGAATTACCATGCTAATTTTAGGACTATCACATGTGTGGCACTGAAGTCAACTCGGCAAAAGCATTTAAGTCTTAAGTGGGAAAGGATGTCTCACTATCTCAGATCCTGTATTTTTGCTGCAGTGGGTGGAGAACAATTGGTTGAGAAATGCACACTCAGCTGGCAAGGAAGGAAGCGATCCAACACTTTATAAAAGAAAACAAAACAAAAAACCAAACCTACAGTGCTGAATTTAGCTGCATCTGCATGAAGCAGTCTCCCCTTCGGAGGACACACAGAAGCGTGACTAAGTACTGATGCAGCCATTTGCCTTAAATCTCCCTCATACTCATGTATTTTATAGCTTATGAATTCATTATGTATTTTAATTAAGCTGTCAATATTTTTGTATTAGGTGCCATCACGTCAGTTTCAACTCATGGCAATTATAAATGAGCTGAAACCACAAAGAGTAATTAAGGAGCAAGATCAGTTAGAAGATTAAAATACCACGGTTAAATCCTTGTTTAAAATATCAAGTCCTTTTAGTCTCAGGTCCTGCATGGATTAGATACAGCTACTTAACTTGCCTCTTCTTCCACTTGGCTAATAAACTACTGCTATTTGTGCCTTGGTATTTGATGTCTGCATTTTTATACTCAAGTGTTTTATCTGCATGAAGTTTTGTAGGAAGAAAGGTCTATTTCCACATGATTAATTAAATGGCCTTGCACTATTTATTTGATCCTCTTGGTTCTTGACATGCCAATAGGCTCAAGTATATCAGACTGTGGGGATGACACAGGATCAGGCAAAGAGCTATGGTTCACAGGGTCATTCAGAGTTGGGCAACGTAAGGACACCTAATAACCACCACCATTTTATAGATAAATACAATGGGGGCTTATTTCCAGCCTTCTAGTTGGTTCCATTAATCTGTCTATTCTTAGAAAAATAAAAACCACTTTGCAACACCTCTCCTTAAGAGACCTTTTGTGCTGTTGACCACAAGATAGTAGCTACAGTTGGCTCACCCAAGGATACTCAGCCCCCAAACAGGCACTGAGCATTTTTGATAAGTTAAAATAAGATTTTTGTACAACTATGAAGAGGACCTGAAGCGCCTGCTGCAGAGTGTCAAGGACTGCAGCCTACAATACGGATTGAGGCTCAATGTCAAGATGACAAAGATTCTCACCACTGGACCAATTGGCAGCATCAGGATGGATGGTGAAGAGATTGAGATTGTACACAGCTTTAGTTTGCTTGGCTCCATAGTCAACAGTCTTGGCACCAGCAGCTAGGAAATTAAAAGGCGCATTGCCATGGGAAAGTGTGCTGTTAAGGACCTCTCCAAAGTACTGAAGAGCAATGGTGTCTCTCTGGAGACTAAGGTGCATCTGATACAGGCCATGGTCTTCACAATCACTTGTTTTGCATCAAAGAGTTGGTCAATGACCAAGGAGGATGGAAGGAGAATTGATGCCTTTGAGCTGTGGTGCTGGAGAAGAGTATTGAGAATACCATGGACTGCTAGGAAAACAAATAGATTTGTCCTGGAAAGGGTTAAACCGGGTGGCTCCTTGGAGGCAAGGATTCTGAGGCTCCGTCTAACATACTTTGGACATGTTGTGAGGAGAGACCGGTCCTTGGAGAGGGATATCATGCTTGGGAGGGTGGAGGGACAGCGTAGGAGAGGAAGGCCCTCTATGAGGTGGATTGATTCAGTGATTGGGATAATTGGGATGGGAGTGTCGGAGACAGTGCGATTGGCACAGGACAGAGCAGAGTTTAGGGCTGTTGTACATAGGGTCGCTATGAGTCGCAGGCGACTCGACAGCACATAACAACAACAACATGACGACATGATGATGTCAACATCTGGCCCCTCCTCTTGGTTGTTAAAATGCAGAGACTATGATTAGTAGCAGAGTAGAATTCATGACATGGCCAAAAAAAAAATAATCCATGATCAAATTACACAAAGTAAAAGTGAAGTTAATCAGTATTAGTACAAATATTCACTATTTGGTGTACGTCCATTAGTAAATACATCCTGCATTATTCTATTCGTAATAAAGTCAACATCCCTGCTCTCATGGGGTATGCTGGAATTCAGCAAATGGACTACAGTGGTTTCAGATAGTAGAAGTGCTACAGAAGATATATAATATAAACAGGGCACTTTGAAAGTTATTGGGGAGGAATATATTAGCTACAGGAAGGTGAAGAGCTTTGACATTTACACAAAGATTTAAATGACAGGGAGAGACTAGGTAAAGGGGCAGATAGGAAAAGGCTTCAAGCAGAAATGAGTTTGGTGCAAATACTCAAGAGGTGAAGTCAGAGATGAGAACACAACACTGCTTTGGAAGAGTGCTACCAACATATGTTCTATGTGAACACTGCCCCTGGAATTGTGTCAGAGGCAGGCAGACAGACTAATGAGGTCTCACAAGATTTTATGTATGTGCATGAGCACACGTGTGGTGTGTTGTATGTATGCATATAAATACCACTGAAGAGTTAAAGAGGGGAGCTTCTCACTTTGCAAAAGCTTAACAGGCAAGTAGGTAATGGTGGGGGGGTGTTGGCAGGGATGGGGGCAGTTGTCAAGAGAAAGAAACTAAGTCTTCTTCATAATCCTCGATGCCTTTAAGAATCTTATGTAAGGTACAGAACCTTTCAACTCTTACGTCCTATCCTCACTCAATCTCTAGGGGCAAAGCAATGCCTGTCTTCTATAAAGGATAACAGCTATGGCCAGATCTGACTGTTAATGTCCACGTGATCTTAAATCTGAATTCTTTTTTCCCCCCAGCCATAATATACAGTTAGTTATCAATCCTTTCTTAGCCTGTGACTTTCAGGAAGAAATGAGAAAACATACAAACATCTCGCACATAGTTCTAATTATTGTTAGGTGCCCTTGTGACATATATGACTCATAACAACCCTATGAACAAAATACATGAACCCTGTTCTATCCTGTGACATCCTCACCGTCTCAAACATATTTGAGCCTATTGCTGCTGGAACGATGTCAGTCTATGACCCACCTTTCTCAGCACCTTTCTGAAGAATAGGCCTCGCCTAGCAACCTGTCCCAAGCATGTAAGTTGAAGCTTAGCCATCCTTGCCTCCAAGGAGCATTCTGGCTCCACTTTTCCAAGTAATATCTGTTTGTTCTTTTGGTAGTCCATGGAATGTTCAGTACTCTTCTCCAATATCACAACTTAAAAGCATCAATTCTTCTGTTATCTTTATATATTGTCCAGCTCTCAGACGCATAGCTTGAAAACACCATGGTGATGCCTAGTGGATACTGGGCCTTTCTGTGTCTTTGGACAGTTAACACATTGGCTGCTGACCAAACTGTTGCAAACTTGAGTCTGCCTAGAGTCACCTCAGAAGGGCCTTGTACACAACATCAGAAAAAATCAGCCATTGAAAACACCATGGGGCACAGTTTTACTCTGACAAGCACAGGACTGCCAGCAGTTGAAATTACCTTGGCAACTTTTCTTGATTTATCAAATAGCGATAGTGCAAAATCTTACTGAATATTAAAAATTTTACTGTACATGAATCTTTATTCACTAAAGCATGATTTAGAATTTCTAATTAATAAAAACAGTCTTTTGCCCAGACTCATTCTTGCATTTTCTCTTAGTACTTTGAAAAAGGGCTCTTAAAGATTCTCTGCACATACTTCCTAAGGCACCGTAGTCTCAGCAATAAAAGGAAGAGAGCACTTAACTGAAAAATAGGAGTAACAGACGCACAGCAAGTCTTTGAAGATTCCCAGTGTGTCGGCAGCAGGGTTTGCTCACTCAAGCACTCGAGTTGGACCTGAGAATTACCTAACTTCAGAAACCACCTCAATCATTTAATGAAGAGCGTTTTATATCTAGGATAAAGTGGATCACAGAGGTATTCTTTGTAAAATAATGCTAACTCAGATATAGCTGTCTGAAAAACCCAACTTTGGAGATTACCAGGAAGAAAGCAAATCTCTAGCTAGTATTTCATCAAAACCTAGGTTTTTAGCTGCTAAATACAGGCATAAAATAATTACATTGCAGTCACTGTGGTTAAGAGCTACAATTCTGATTCAAAATATAACTCTTGCTCTCAGCTGTTTGTGGGCAAGTTACTTAATCTCATTAGACCTCAGTTACAGCATCTGAAAAGGAGATACAATCAATTCCTCTCTTAGGCTTATGGTTTAAAATGAAGCATTTTAAACTATTTTAAACCTGATAAACATTCAATTAAAAAAAACACCCAAGAAATATGAGTTTGAGTACTGTTTGTTTTTGTTGCCACGCACAGTGAGCATGAATTCGTTATTTAAGTTCCTTTCAATTTGGGAAGCAGGTAGGTATTTCTAAGGCTCAGTGCCTGGACAAATACAATTCGCTTTAAAAAATGTACAGGAATAATGATTTATTTTTATTTTTCAAAGAGAAAAGTAAACTGAGGGGAGGGGTGGTCAGGTTGGAAAGTGTGCAACTATGAATGAATGGAAATCCAGAGTCTGTAAACTTTCATTAAAAAACAAAACAAAAAACTTTCATTAAAATAAATTTTTAAAAAGTAGAAAATGTACAGGAACTTTATTTTTCTGGTCTACATTACATATCTTAGTTAATGTCTTTAACAGAAACTTCTCAGTAAAGATTCAGAATCTGTTCCATTGGGATTTAACTTTGTAAACAGAAATATGCTTGGCTAGGAGTTAGACAGCCCCCACATGTGGTACAAAGGGGTAATGTGCTCTACCAGAGCAAGCAGCATGCTTTTCTTTCTTTCTTTGGTTCCTATGCTGAAGGCGCCACCAGAAAGAACAGTATTCTATTCAGTGAGGTAAACAAGAAAAAGGCTTCTTTCCTCAAAAATCCATGTGGACTGAAGAAAACTAGCCAGTAAGAACTCTTTAGCTCTAAGTCAAAAGTCAGAGGTCTACAGAGGTAAAAGGCAAAATATTCTGAAGTGGAAGACAATGCTGAAGGTGACAGAAGTATGGTGTGTTGTGTACCATCGAGTCAGAACCAACACACTGCTGATCATCTGGTGGGTTTTCAGCAGCAGTTAATCACATGGGAGATTGACCATCCTTCTCCCATGAAGCAGCTAGTGGCCTCAGTGTGCCTTTGGGATTACAGAGCAGCTTCTTGCTATTTGGCCACCAAGACTCCCTTCTAAGTATGGCAGTGTTAAATTTCCATATGTGGGTACGGTGAATTATTAGAATATGGCTTATACTTAGGAAAACCTCAATGAAGGTTATATTGAAAGACCCCATTTTTCATATTCCTATAAATTTTCTCTAACTTTGAAAATATTTTAATAAAGTTATTGGGTGAAAATTTGTGCTAAGTAGCAGGACAGTTACAGCATCTCAAAAAGCTTCCTTATATATTTAGTGATTACAGAGGGAAAAGGGACCTTTGCAGAAGAGAAACTTTACAGTTATCACCTTTATCAGATTAAATTCAAGTCCATGAATAAGTAGACACATTGAACATTTTGTCTTTAAGTCACTTACTTCATAAAATACTACCCCAAAAATTCTAGCCTGAACCTAATTACAAGGAAGCGTTGTTGAGTACCAGAGAATCAGAACCGACCCATAGTTGACCCTCCAGCAGGTTTTCAGAGGCAGTTAATCACACAGGAGAAGTTTGCCCATCCTTCTCCCAAGGAACAGCTGGTGGATTTGAACTGCATGCCTTCAGGACTGCAGTGCAGCCTCTTGCCACTAGGCCATTATATAAACCTAAACTGAGAAACATTCTAAAACCTGACCTGGAACTTCTGAAAAGTCATTGACATAAGAAACAAAAAGTCTGAATAATCTTTGATTAAAAAAAATTAGAAGAGTATATAACATGTATGATTTTGGATAGGCATGAAATGAAGAGGTTGTAATCAATGTCATAAAACAAAATTAGTTGAAAAACAAGCTACATTGTATACTTTTACTAGTATCAAAAAACTCTTAAAAATTTAGTGTACATAAATGTCTTAGCTGCTAATCAAAAGGCGGGAGATTCAAATTCATGAAGAGTACCTAAGAACAAAGTCCTGGTGATCTACTTTGGAAAAAGTCAGTCACTGAAACCAGCATGGAGCACAATTCTAGTTTACTTGGATATAGGTGCCAAGTGAGAGTAAATGGTTTATATTAGATAATATACCCTGAGCGTAGTAACTCTAAGGTCTTTGAAGAGACTATCTTCTCAAAATTTTAGGTGATATATTCTCAATTCTTTAAAGTATCATGTCTGTAATTTATTTCAAATCATTTAGGACAAAAACTCTTTAAAACAGATTGCAAACACATACACATACTGCAACTAATTACATGGCCTTCTTGAAACCTACCTTTCCCAAAATGCTGATCGCGCATGCCATACCAACTTGTCCAACACCCACTACAGTGATCTTATTGTTTGGAACTGCTGCTTCCTCTTCCGCAACTGGTGCAATGAGTTTTTCCTTAAGAGTTGCCATTGTGCCCTGGGGGGTGTAGGGGGAGAGTGCAGGGGGGGGGAGGGGGAGAAGAATAACATTGTAATTTTATCATAGATAAAGCTGGAAAGGAATTTTTGAAATGTTACAGCTGCAACTGTAGCTTTAGCCAAATTGTGCCTAATGATATCCAGAGCAAATCAATATTTTGACCAATTGAGAATTTAATCGAGGCTGAAAACTATTTGTAAAATTACAATTTTAGTTTACTCTGCCTACAATTTCATATTCAAATATAATAGGCTATAACCACTTAAGTCTTATGCTGTTATATATATCCGGCAAAATATATACATGTTCATATTTTAATTAGTCGAGGCATGTGATTGAAATCCACCAGCTGCTTGGCTGGAGTAAGATGAGCTCTCCTATTGTTGTTGTTGCTATGTGCCAGCTATGAGTTGGTTCTGACCCAACTGATGTAACACATAGAATTTAGAGGAGAGCTGGTAGGGAGGTCTGGTGGCCCAGTGAGAAGAATCCGTACTGAAATCCTGATTGTACTGTTCCATGGGAGATAGATGGGCAATCTCCTCCTGTGGGATTACTGCCTCTGAAAACTGGCTGGAGGGTCAGCTTTGGGCTGGTTCCAACTTAATGACATACAACAAGTGGTGCTTCATGCTAAGTACTAAATTGCTGACCGAGAGGCCAGCACCTGCTCTGTGCGAGAATGATGAGGTAGTTGCTCCTATAAGGATTTATACAGGATTTTCAGAAATCCTATGGGGTAGATCTACCTGTCCTGTGATGCTGCTGTGAGCTGGATCTGATTCAAAGGCAGTGTGGTTTGGGGTATACAAAATTTAACTGTAACCACTAAAACAAGTAGCCAGTTAAGTATATAGATTCAATGGCTAACACTACTAGAGTCATCACTTTAAAGGTATTTGACTGGCTTGTCTGCTTTAACTCTCACTTCATATGTATCACAATGCCTTGGGTACAGAACTTGAGTGTTTCATAATGATATAGAGACAATGAAATGATGGTGAATAATGTTTATTCACAACTTGCAAAAAAAAAAAAAAAAGATTACTCTCAATTCTTTTTAGTGTACCTTAGAGGCTTGTTGGAAAATGGGTAGATACAGAATATAATTGTTTTTCTTGAAAAGGTAACATCAGCTGTTACCTTTGAGTCAGAACCATTCTAACTTCCAAAAATGCAGATCAAACATAAAACTTCAGTGAAAAACAAAAAGCTGAAACCAGTTGTGGAACGTTCCTTACAGTAAGGCCTAATCTGTTAACAGATCACTCTGTATTTTAAAAGTAAAACAAGTGGTAAAGATGTTAAATGTCACAGATAAATTCCATGTAAAACAGTAAAAAACAATAACCCACAAGTGAGAGTACAGATAATCAGTTAAATCTTTTCTTCATACTTAAAAAAACTATGAATGTGAATCTACTCCGTTGTACTTTTTATTTGACGGTTTACTTCTTCCTGATGCTATTGTCACTTCTGAGGTGACTTTACATGTTTCAAAGTCTGTTCAAGTCTTGTTTCTGCTTCTAACCTACAAAGGGCTAAGTAACAAGACCTAGTTTAATAACTGTATATGCGAAGTAGGAGTGACTAAGGCTGAGCTGGAATGAAATACTCGATTTAGGAGACAGGTATATAACAACTACTTAAATATCTATTTTGTTCAATAGCTTTTTTCCTCCCTCAGCTCCCCCCCCAAAAAAAAAATTCTCACAATCTTTAGGGAATAAATTAGGAGTAGAGCAATTATTCTGCTTTTAGAGAGCTCATTTCAAGTTTCTTTGTGGATTAGAAAGAGAAAATACACATTGTTGAGCAATTGTCTCTAAAAATAGATGACTTTACAATGCAATTCAGGTGCGTCCTGAATGCTGAGGAATGAATGCTGCATGCTTATTGGTGAGAGGCATAAATGATAGTTTCGTTACATTTAAGCTTTGTTTTTGTGGGTTTTATTTTAAAAAATCCATATATATAACAGACGTTCAAACACATCTTTAAGATTTAGGAACTGGTTCTGTGGCGCGGAGTTGCACCACTAAGCCAAAGAAAAGGCACGCAGTGCGAATGGGTAGATAGTCTCCTCCCTTGAAATTCACCGTCTCTGAAAACCCACTGGAGGGTCAGCTAGGAGTGGGTTCTGACTCAATACACCGTACACAGTAACATATTTTTAGATCTAAAGCGTTTCTTTCAGATCTTTCTGGGGAGGAGGGGATATGGTTTTTGTTTTGTTGGTGTTTTGTTTTGGGGTTTTTTTTACAAGAAATACCAAGAAATTACTATTGCATTATACGCATTCCGGTGCCACGACTTGCAGGAGGCTGTAGGGAAAAGGGATGGTGAACCAGCTGGGTGAAAGCACTATGGGCCCTTTCCACACTCCACCCCACCCCCACCCACCCCCGCAGCTACAAGCCGTTAGAAATTAAGCAGTGCCTTCAACTCAGAAAGGAAGCGTTTGCAGAATACCTCTCAAGTCTAGCATTTTCAAAACATGCGTTTTGCCTTCTAATTCTTCCAGCAGGCAAGTGCGAGCGTGCCCCTTCCTCAACCCTAATTGCAGCGTGCACTCAGGTTCGCCGCCCCCAATCACCTCTCTGCGCGCTGGCAGCAGAGAGCCGCGGGTCACCAGGGAAGGTGGCAACCAAAGATCTCCGTGGAAAAAAGGTCTCCAGGGGCAAGCCTAGGCCTTCTTTACCCAGAGTTGGCCTAGTAAACAAAAACCTGCGGCATCAAGACGCGAGCAGAGCTTCCCGGAGCCGCCTGTGCAAAGGGTGAAGCCGGGGCGCAAGGCCGAACCAGCGCATCATCTGATGCTTGACCCTCATTCCACGGTCGCTGGGGCATTTCTCCGTTACTGAGGATGTAGGGTCAGGTACCCAGGAGTAATGGGTCCTCCTTCACGAGACTCGGTTCGGGCTCCCTCCTCTGCCTCTCGGACACGTGCCTCCCTCCTGGAAGTGGCCGCCATGAGTCCTCAAGGGCAAGCAGGGCCCGAGTTTAGCTGCAGATGCAACAAGTTTCTCCCGCAGATAGCACAGGCCAAAGGAGAGCCCGGGCGGAGGACAAAGCCTGGAGCTCGCCGCAGTGCCCTTGCCCCACCTTCTACGCCTCCGACCGAGAGCGGCCCCAGGACGAGAGGCTGAGGCGGACCCTAGTCCGGATACTCAGAGCCCGAGGCCCTTGAGTGCAAGCAGAGGGCAGGTGTCCCTCTCGGTCTTGCCACTCAAGGACTCTCCAGCCGTCTCCCCTCACTTGTCAGGGACTCAGGATTCAGGGTTCTGATAGCAGACTTACCAGGCGAGAGATGCTGCAGAAGGTCGCAACCACCGGGCGAGGAGGATGGCGTGGGGTGCTCGGGTCTGCTCCGGCGCAGGATTTGTAAAGAGGAAGGAGGAGGCGGTGCCCAGTGTCTCCGCAGCCTCTTAGGTTTCTCCTTTGTGATTGGAAACCCGAGCACCGCCTACCCCTCCCCTCAGCTCGCTCAATCCCCTTCAAGGACAAGAGCTCAAGTGTGCTGTGCACACGCCCTCCCCGCCCCCCCCCAAAGGAGGTCACCTTCAGGTGGCCAAGGCGGCCTTGGCGGCTCTAGCCTGGTCTCTCAGTTTGCAGGCTTTGTAGAGGCCCGTCCTCGACCCTAATATGGCCTGTCTCCAACCCGCTGGATTTTTCATGTGGTTGGGCTTGATATCATCCAAATAGAAAGTTTTCCTTTGGCATCTCAGATCTCTCTTTAAGCTGACATGTTAATGGTGTATTTCCCCCTCATATACCACTGCTGCTTCTGAACATTAAAAAGAGACCCAGAAAAAAAAAGAGACCCAGATGCTTAATAGTTCAGTCATAAAGTTCACTTGATGAAACAGCAAGGTTTATTTGAGAAACACTCCTTGACTATCCACTAGTTGTCCTCTGAACTTCCTCTGCAAGTCTAGAGGTCTCCTCTGGGCAGTCATGAAAGGTTACTTTTGCTTTCTCTCAAGAGAAGAAAATGAGGCCACAAGATGTCATGAAATTCTCAGTTAATCGTAAAATTGGCATGTGGTCATTCATCGATCTCCGTGTCCTTCAAGCTCAGACCAAAACCGGTACCTCGGTACCGTGTTGGGGAATGGCCGACTCAGTGAATGATTGATCAGGTGTACGTATTCTGAAGGTTTTCAGCTGCATTTCATGAAAATAAGCCCCTTACATGCTGCTTCTGTGTAAAAGATAACTTGTTATAAATGACCATTCATGAACGCTGCGTTAGTGTCTTTTCAGTACCAAGCACTCAACAAGGATTACTATCACACCAGGCCCCTCTTGAGACGCTCCCATTTTAGAAAATGCATACAAGTAGGTAAACAGTTCATTACAACAAACTGTGATAAGTAAAATACAATAAAATTCAAAGGAAGAAGCCACTAACAAGGATGTGTGAAGCAAAATAAATAAGGCTGAAATTCTCCCAGATTTTTCAAGATTATTTTAACCAGAAAGTGGGGACTTTGAAGGACACAAAAGGTATTTTTAAGATTTTTATTTTATATTATTTTCCTCACAAAGTTCGTCTCATTGTGTTTCATACTATTCTTCATTCATGTTGTGTTTCATACAATCCTTCCTGTACCTTGTGTTTTATAAAATCAATCACCATTGGACCTTGTCTATCATAGTTATTGTTATGTGCTGTGGAGTCGTTTGCCACTCATAGCGACCCTATGTACAACAGACCTAAACCCTGGTCTATCCTGTGCCATTCGCACTGCCTCTGACACACCCATCCTGATTACCCCAGTCACTGAATCAATCCACCTCAGAGAGGGTCTTCGCCTCTTGGGCTGTCCCTCCACCCTCCAAG